CCCATCGCCAATATGCATGTCCGGGAAAAATTTTTTAGGTGCCCTTTTCAATATCAAAAAGTGCCCCTGGAAGGTGGTGCCCCCCCCAATCTTTTGACGCTTCCTACACCCCTGGGCTGGTTGTTCAAAAGCAGGTTATCTTAATCTTGGATGAACAAAAAACTTTAAAGCAATATTCCCCAACAGCTGCTTTATATTAAACATGCAAGTATTTTTTCCAGAAATCTTGAAGTTCTCAAGTTTTAAAATAAAATGGGCAAAAGTACAAAAACTGAAATGACAAGTTTAGGTAAATTCTAACCCAGGAATAGAACTAACCCAGCTTTGAACAACCAGCCCCTGGATAAGTTAAAAAGACTGTCAAGATGATAACGTAAATTTCAAACAAATGAGAAACTTACTTTAGATGAGTGACATTTATATATAATATTTAGTCTATTAGGAAACATTTAGAAAGCAGGCGTTACAATGTTACATCATATCTTTCACAGTTCTGTGTCCCTACTTTCACTGGAGAGGTTTAAGATGTAACTGCCACTACTGCTAACCATTCACGGCCCATTAACCAATTAGATACGTTTGATATATCCGATTAACCAATCAGATGCGTTTGATATTAACCAATTAACGAGGTGCGTACTAAGCCAGGTACAGGCAGTAGTAATCAGTTCATTGCATGGTTCATTGTCCTATTGATCTAACTATGGAATTTTGTATTGAATTCCGTATTATAGCTGGAGTAATACGAGCAACAAAATTGCTGCAACTTGCAACAAAATCTGATTTCAACGCATGTTAATTGAAAATGTTCACACATAAATTACAAATCACGAGGCAACATGGTTTATTTTCTCACTCTAATTAACATGCGTTGAAATCAGATTTTGTTGCTCCAGCTTATGGGTTAGTGGTAATCTGACGCGCTGATTGGCTAACATTATTTGCTCTTGTTACGGCCAACGGATAAAATAAAAGTATTTATATATCTTCATACACCTAACGGTGTCGTGTTTAATTCGTCAGTTGTTGTATGTGTTTTTTGGTTGCACAAGAATTGACTTTTCGCGAAACCAGAAAATTGCGGTTTTTACCGCACTTCCGATTTTGAAAAAACGATTGCAATACAGTAAAGCCCCGCATAAAAGAACCAGTAGGTTAAGAACCACCAGCCTGAAATTTGGGCAATTAAGCACACCAAAATACAATTTTTTAAAAGTTTTTTCAAGTTCAGATATAGGCTATGTAACGAGAACCATATTTATCAAGGCATTTTTTAGTACCATGGACTGGTGGGGCATTTGCCCCACTGGGCCCCTTCCTCTGCCCCACCCATAGGCCCCACCACTGAATGGCCTATTGCCCCAAAGTCAGGGCCCTAGGACCTGTATTGAGTAAATGAGTTTAACATTGAAATTGAAAAGAAGTTTATGTTGTGTTTGAATGTTTAGCATGCAATTTGTTACAAATTTCACCATTAAAACTGCCTTCTGAGAAGCTGAGATTTTTTTTAAATGTGTTTTCAGAATGCAGAAAATGCTATTTCAGAGACCCAAATTTTAAACATTTCCTGGGGGGGGCATGCTCTCAGACCCCTAGCTAACTCGTGCCTGCGGAACTCGGCTCACATCAGGCTCACACCTTCGGCTATCGCATACTATCCTGGGGGGGGGGGGGGGAAGGG